AAACAAATGTTTAAACAACTCTGCTTATTCAATTAAGTATGGAGAATGTTCCAAGACAGGGATTGGGTTATATGATTCTTTTAGAAGGGTAAATAATATTCAGAGCATACTCAAATGTTGTTTCTAATTATGTGTACTCCACAAGCTGCATTTTCTCCTTGGAGGGATAAAGGTTATTCCATAACAACAATAAAACAGTTCATCACATTTATATTGTTTGAAATTGGTTCAAAGAACATGTTAACGACTTTAGTCTTCTTCCTTGGCAAGTACATCACTAAATCTTAACCTAACTGAGCATCTATGGAATAGATTTGAATTTTGTATTTGCCACTGTAATACCCTGACAATACATGTGAATCAAACGGACTACAATTGAATAAGGCATCAGAGGAGTCCAGGCAGTATAACAAGAGAATAAATGGCCTAATGTGATAATAGGTGGAATTCTAATAAATTGAACATACAGTGTATATATATATATATATATATACATATACATACTTAACCCATTAACCAGGCCAATAATACAATTAGTAGCAAAATCACAATAGGATGTAAAAAGGAAAACAGGCCACAATATAAAGAGTAAGGACAGCTAAATGTGTGTTTTTAGAGTAGATACAGGAAAGGAGATACAGTGTTTATGTGATTTAATCTTTATTCAGGAGCTTCATTTGTGAAAGAAATGTAAATATTAATAGTAGTAACAGGTGTGGGTGCTCAGTTTACACACATTAGCTATTTGCTTGAAATGAAATGTGAAAAGATCACATTTAAAGTGATGAAACTTATGAAAAATTGACCATTGAGGGTAATTTAACACTGTTTCATAAATTTGACATTCCAGACCTACAACAGTTAAACCCTGTATTAAGAGAATAACAAATGTTTATATGACAAAGTCAAATAACTGTTAAAATCATAAGTACATCGGAAACACCACATATACTAATCAGACTTATAACACATAATTTTACACAAGGTGCCACGTAATTAGCCTTCTTTGCAGCTTGAGTTAAAAGCTTGAGAATATTCAATTACTATAACTTTCAGTTGTATAGGCAGTAGATCTATGAACTATAACTTAGCCCCCCAGTGGCACAGCGGTATGTCTTCGAACTCACAATGTTAGAAACAGATAGCCCATTGTGTAACTTTATGCTTAAGTAGAAACAAACAAAAAAACTGTAACTCTTAAATTTACAATTGCATAAGTGCCTGGCATGGCCAGGTGGATAAGGCGCTCGACTCACAATCTGAGGGTCGCGGGTTCGAATCCGCATCCCACTAAACATGCTCGCCCTTTCAGCCGTGGGGGCGTTATAATGTGACGGTCAATCCCACTATT